GCGCGCGGGCAAGCGTCGCCCTCGCGCGCAAACTTGCACGTCGTCTCGCCCTTGGTCACTCCGTTCTTCATAACATCCGTGGATTTCCTAAGACGAGCTGCCACTTCTGCCGCAGCGGCTTTGCCGTTGAGACCTCGGCGGTCGTCGTTGCCGTTGCCTCCACCACCGCCCAACCGCGTCTGTCGAGCTCGTCGGTTCAAAGTACCCTCATGCATGCTAATGAGCCATTCTGCCTTCTCGCGCAACATCATCCGTTCAATCTGAGATATGAGCCACTCGTAGGTTTTAGTGCCCTCTCCTAGCTTGTCCGTGGAAAAATCATAAAGTTGACAAACAAGCTCTAATGTCTTCGGCTTCCTGCATTTCTCAATGATGTGTGCATGGGTCGAAGCTCGCATCTCATCAGATGGAGGTCGTACGCCGTAGAGCTGCTGATAAACATCTGTCCACTCATTATAGACATGATATAAATCAGCATCTGGGCGATTGGGGTCAATAACTACCTCCCAGAGATCACGCTAAATGTGATGTTGACCTAACTCCGATCTGACGGAACGCCAATAGCACATGGCTCGTATCATTTCGCGCCCCGCCAATAGCCTCTGCTCGTTCTGGGCGGCGTATTCCATGCGATTGATCCGTTGAAGGATGTGAATCTGATGAGTGGAAAGACCGCGATTCCTACGCATTTTGTTGAACTTCTCGATCAAGTTCATGGCAATCATGATGTCCAGACGTTGTAACCGACCCGGATGTCTGAGCTGTTCGTTAGCCACAGAAGGGCCCATAGCTTCCATGATCCAGAGCTGTGCTTCCCGAATCTCAGGAGACGATCCAGCAACAGCACGAACCGCATGCATCTGCCACTCCCGTATGTTTGTAACATCATGACTGTCCATCAGATCAACCTTCGGACTGTTTCCAACCTGTCTCCACTGGTCCAGAAGGGTACTCTCATTAAGACCTCCAGGGTCACGTGGCCCTCCTGGGCCCTGAGGTCCACCGCGACCACCCCCGCCGCCTGGGGATCCAGGACCCCCCGGACTTCCTGGGGGCGGCTTCTCCGACTGGTCTCGAGTAGCGTTAGCGATTGCTGACAGAATCTCGGTACTTAGCGAGGTACTATGATCATCCCCATCCTTGTCCTGTCCTGCCCCGCCAAGCGGCGTGGCCGCTGGCGCATGACCCTTATCTCTACCAGACGGCTGGGCCGTTGGCGGTTTCGCTGGCCCCGCCTTGGTGGAAGGATGATAGTTAATGAAGGTCATGCCATCGGTGATATCTGTCAAATCCGCGTTGATGGGCACGCCGTTCCCGGAGGTACCAGGCTTTGCCGGACCTTCGGTTGCAGGGCCAGGAACAGTATAATGGGGTTGCATGGTGGGCATCGCGGGCGTCTTCTGTGAAAGATAGGGCATGTTGAATAGACCAAGCCTGGGCAATTGATCGAACCCTTTCTCGAGGTATGGAAAAGATCCCATTCCCATGGATATCGTCATCTCTTTTGCCTTTTCGATCGTAGCCGCTTCACGGTCAGCAGATTGCAACTGATGCTGCACGTTTGCCCTTTTTCTTTCAAGGATTCGGTGATGATAGCTTTGAGCTCCATCACCTCTTTCTCTGATGCAACTGCGCGTGCCAGAACCTCATCCTTCTCTCGAATGTCGGCAACTGACCTTTCTGAGCTCAGTCTAAGCAGCTCCTCAGCTTGCTCCCTCACCCGCTGCATATTAGGTTTACCAGCGCAAAATTCATCTAGGAGCTTCTGCTGTTGGGCCCGAAAGTTGTGGTCAGCACTATGTCGCTGCCATTGTTCATCCCACTCTGCCTGTTCCACGGGCAAACTCTTTCGTTGAGTGCAAGTGAAACGCCGTCTGGTGCTCGTGCCAAAGTGGTCATTACAGCTTGGCAAACAACAAGTGGCGCAATCTCCAATTTTCGAACTCGAGCATATTGAGCAACTCTCTTCATTGGCCCCTTTCGCGGGCTGTGGCTGCTGAGCAGCCCTTACTCGCAACATTGGCGGCTTTCCGCCCTCCAGGGGCGCCAAGCCTGAGTGGGCCTGCGAGGACGTTGCGCCAGACGGCTGGGCCGCCGGCGATGGTCGTCTGCTCGCCCCCGCCGGCTTAACCGGTAGGCACATTTCGTCTCCTAATTGCACGCGCTGAAGAGATGCTCTGACAATTTCATATAACTTGAGCTCTTCTCGATACTGTTTATTATGATCAACTATCGTCGCAGCTACAATATGTGTATTGGCCACTTCCAGCCTGGCAGCGTTAGGTTGGTCTTGGAGCTCCTGTTTGTCATATTCTGCCCTGGCCGTCGCGGCCCTCTCCCCTTCTATTCTCGCCACCGCAACAGCGGCGCAAGCGGTCTTGGCATCAACAGATTGACTGTTCGCTGCCATGGCAGCCTGTCGCTCAGAAGAGATCGTCTCCACAATTCTGTTCTCGGCTTCTTCTTGCGCGTTGCTGGGCAGCTGCGGTTTGATGGGGCATTCGTTCCATCAGCTCTTGTTCCCGCTTGCTGGCAGCTTGGGCCAGAGCGAGTCTTTCAGCCTCGAACTTCTTCCGGACATGCTCAATAACTGCGTTCATTTCTTCTCGATCCAGTCGGGCCTGTTCGGCCCTCTGGGCTTCCAGAACCACGATTTATTGCTGAGTTCTGACCTCAACAAATCTGGCCTGATCTTGCATAGCTTGGATGAGAAGATATGAGCAACTATGTTCCACCATCCGAAAGCAATCCTCGCACAACCATTGATTGCCGCAGTTGGGACACACGTCATAACAATTTCCACACACTGGGCGCTTGCAGGGTCCTCCCTGTTTGTGAGCCTTCCCCGGGCACCTGCTTTCCGCCTGGGGCGGGCAGTCGGGGCCCCGGTTCCAGCATACCTCACGCATGGATACTGTATTGTTACTCCTCGAAGTCGATCGGGCACCAGATCGCGGTATCTTGGGCCTTCCCCTGCTCGAAGCAGACGGTCGAGGACGGACGCGCGTGCTCTCAGGTGGTTTGGCCACCTCTCGAAACTCCTCATCCAACTCGTCTTGTCTGACCAATTCATTGAGCGAAGCCGGGGGGGTGAGCATCTCATCATCCTCAACTACCGCGGGCACCGACGGTTGCCAATCGCCTGGGGCGACGGCAGGTCGATAGAACCCTTCCTGAAGCGGGGAATCATTCAAATCGTAATATTCATCCCTGTGCTTAGGGGCGGGCGTTCGTTCCGTGGTCTCCCCGTCATTACCAGTCTTTCCTCTGAGAATCGGGGTAAGATGCCAAAGGGATTAAGGTTTCATGCTGACTCTGCTCAGTGGTAGAGGATACGGGATGAGACATCGATGGAACTATCGGTTATCCGTTAAGCAACTACACTCAAGTATAGGAAGTGAGGAGTCCGGCCAGGGACGGACGACGACACGGGCCGCCCACGCGCCCCCGGCGCACTCCTTTTCTCACTCGAGCAATAGATACAGCTTCGGTATACAGTGATACAAATGTCAAGGTATGGCAAGGCAGGCAACAGGAGAGGCAAGGGCATGATGAGGCGGAGAGGAGCATATTTACTGGAGGAGGAGGAGGAAGAAGAAGAGGAGGAGGAGGAGGAGCAGGAGGAGCAGGAGGAGGAGAAGGAGGAGGATGAGGAGGAGGGGGAGGGGGAGGAAGAGGAGGTGGAGGAGGAGGAGGAGGAGGAGGACAGGACATCCGCATAGGGGGTCAACGTCAACACACCTAGACTGGTGCCTTGCGCGCGTCTGCAAAATCCCCTGGGATCTGGTTGTGCCTCAGCCCTGACTTCTCGCAAGGGCCGACAGGGGGCATACCCCGAAACTTCAAGGGGTGAGCTCTGAGGTAGCCCCGTAAGAGAGGCTCGCTACCTTGTGGGTACGAATCCCTGCGGGTCAGCGCGGGGCGAGCAGCTGCCAGCCCTTCCGCGTGCCCTGGGAATGGGGACGCGCTGGGCGAGCAGGGCCCCCAAGCTGGGGGGGGGAGAGACGGCGACACGACCACTCAAAAGGAGCAGGGGAGGAGAAACAGGAGGCCCATGCGATCCAAACTTCTGCTGGGGGCCTAATTGTCCTGTTGGTTTCGTGCTATCCTGTTCTCTCCTCTCTCTCTCTCACTCTCTCTCTCTCTCTCTTTCTCTTTCTCTCTCTCTCTCTCTCTCGGCTCACTCTCTGTCAGAACGAACTGGACGATAGTTGTTCCATGCATTGTCGCACCTGTACCCGGATACCCGGTTGAAGAATCCGGAGGAGGAGAAGGAGGAGGAGACGGGCGGACCTGTGCCGATAGAGGGGTGCCGAAAAGCCGTCGGTGACGTGCCCCGAGCACACGCGCAACAGCGCGCTGGGAGAGGCGGAAGCAGCCCGAGCTGCCCACACACACACATACACATACACATACACATACACATACACATACACATACACATACACATACACATACACATACACATACACATACACATACACGTACACGTACAGATACACACATATACATACACACATACACATACACATACACATACACATACACATACACATACACATACACATACACATACACATACACACACTGTTTGCGTCGGCGGCTGGGCAGGGGGTCGCCTGCGCTGGCAGAGAAGAAGCGAACTGAACGGGGGCACCGCTGCAGCGAATTGGCCATCATGCAAGAGGAGGGGGGGAAGGAAGAGCGGGCGGCCGCGGGGAGGGACACACACACACACACACACACACACGCACGCACGCACCCACCCCCACACACACCCACCCCCACACACACCCACACACCCACCCACCCACCCACACACACACACACATACACACACACACGCACACACATACACATACACACACACACACACACGCACACACCACACCTCCGCTATCATCCCCGCCCACCCGCTCGTGAGACCTCTGCGGCGAGAGGGGAGAGGTCCAGGTCTTACACGCAGCAACTCCGGCCCTGACTTTGGTTTGGCCCCGGACCTTGCGAGCAGCTGGTCGGTGGGGGGCGCAAGGCCGCATCGCCGCAGCGGCCAGCCGGCGCGAACGCAGAAGGCGAGCTGCAGCAGCGAAGTGAGCGGGTCCACGACGGCGCTGGGAGTGGCCGCGCTTGAAAGCTGGCAGCACGGGGCCCCGCTGCGGCGAGCGAGTGGAGACACAGCGCGCTCGAGAAGTGTGATTTGAACCCTCCTCTGCTGCTTCTCTATGCGTTTGCTGAGAGTGGCTTTCCAGACAAGCTCGGGGCGCTGCGCTGCTCTCCATCACGGGGAAACCAAAAGATACCGATACCGCTACTCCCCGGACCGCTCCCTGGGCGCGTTCTGACCGGGATTTCGGGGCGAACCCAGCGGTGGCGACGAGGGCCTCCCAGGAGGCCCAAAAAGGGGAATACCAGGGAAGGGTTGAGGCATGGGTACCTTTTCCCCTTCTGAAGTACCGCCAAACCCACACGCCGCACAGAGAGGGCCAAGCGCCGGACAGACGTGCACAGACATGTGGCCACATCGTGCAGCCAGCCCTCGCCCAGGCGGGCCACGCCGTGCGTCTTTCTGCACCCCGTTGCACATCGGCGAGGGGTCCCTGAAGGTCCCCAGGAAGTCTGAAGTCGGGCCTGCCCCTCTACAGGAGGAATATTCCCAAATAGTCCAAAAACTACAATGGGGAGGATTTTTCCAGTATGTTTGGATATCTATTTGACTATTTAAAATTTTCCTCCAGGATCCGCCTGTGGGGGGACATGCCCGACCTAAAGGAAGTCGCAGGAGACGCCTTCGGAAAAAAGAAGGTCCTTGGAGGTCTCTGGGGGCCCTGGATCGTCCACGAGCCCCGGCCCTCCTCCGAGCAGGACGCTCGGAGGCGCGCAACTCTGGAGGCCTCGGCACGACATGACATGACAAGTGGAGCGTTTTTTTCTCGTCGATTCGGCATTAGGCCGAAGGGGGGTGGGGGTCAGGCTCCAGACCTCTGCTGAGTGCGACTGTTTGGAACCGTGCGTCCTATGGGGGAGACTCCGCCTGCTCGAGACAGGCGCCCAAAAAGAGCCAAGATCTACTCCATGGGGGGGGGGGACATGCGCCGATCGGCAAAACAATGGATAAAACATGATCACAAGTTCCTGAGGGAAACGGGCCATGGGCTCAGGGCTCTCCCCTGGTCCGCGGGGGGGGGGGGGGGGAACGACCAGAGGGGGTTGGCCCAGGAGGAAACCATCGACCTGGAATCGGAGACTCGATTCATAGGCGACAAACTTGCCATCGCTGCCATCGCTCGGACGTCTGTCCCCCGTCTATTGTTCGGCTTCGAGCGCCCATGTTTCCGCAGATGCTCCAGAAGGCTCCTAGAGAATCCTCGCCGAATCCGAGCGATGCCGCATCAGTGGGATATCAATGGGCAATCAAGAACCCTCTCTCCCCTAACCGTATCCCCCCCGAAGAGAATCGACCCCGACCTTCCCTCAATCAGCTTCTCGTGCTGGCTGTTTCTCGGACGGCCCCCGGGCCCTGGGGAGGCCGCAGGCGGCGAACAGTCTCGGGCCCTACGTCGCCTCGGGACCCCATCTCTTCAGGCTGGGCGACGCTCCGAGACGTGGCTGCAGGGCTCGCGAGTCTGGGGGGAGGGAAGCAGGAAGAAGAGGAGGAGGAGGAGGAGGAGGAGGAGGAGGAGGAGGAGCAGGGAGACGGGGGAGGGAGGAGGAGCAAGAGGTAGCAGAGGGGAGAGGGACAGGACAGGTGCGCTCGCGCCATGTCTGACATTCCACACCTCCGGCCCATCCCTTTCCATTGCACCGACATTTCTCTATCCGCCGACGGGTGTCATACCCTGGAGCACACCAAAAGACCCCTTGATGATTTTTTCATCGTATTGCATACAAATTGGAAAGGGAAGCTGTGCACATTGGAGGAAGAGAAAGCGGAAGAGAAAGAGGAGGAGGAGGAGGAGGAGGAATTGGCGGATGAGCAAGAGGATGAGAAGGAGGAAGAAAAGAGGATGGGGAAGGCGAAGGGCGATGGGAAACAGCAGAAATAGCAGGAACACGAGGAGCGGGAGGAGCGGAAGGACCAGGGACAGGCGGACGAGGGGAAGGGAGCGGGGCGACAACGACGAGGAAAGGCTCGGATCCAGAATTGTGGCCCACGCTGGGGCGAAAGCGCCAATTCTGAACGACAGGGGCAAAGCGTCGATCCTATGATGAAGCTAACGCTGCAGCGGGAGCACCGTCGTTGGAACCCCGAAGATGTTCCGAGTGAGAAGGCCTCCTCCTCCTCCTCCTCCTCCTCCTCCTCCTGCTCATCATCCTCCTTCTCGTCCTCCCCCACCTATCAAACAACCAGCTGAAGTCCGATGCGCAAACAGAGCAAGTCGACAGAAGGCCCCCCATCGGACACGATGCAGAAGGAGAAAGAAGAACGGTATCCGTGCTGGGTATCGTGGTGCAGAAGGAGGAAAGCGGCAGTGCACAAACCTCTCTTTAGTAAACCACCCATCAATGAAAACGGCCCAAGACCAAAGCCGACGGACATGGACCTGCAAAAATGACGGCCGCGACGCCCTGTCGCGAACCGAAAACGGCCAATGCGCTAATCGACGTGTCAGGGTAGGAGGTCTGCCCACCCCCGGGGAAAGCGAGGTGGAGAAAAGAGGAGAGAGGAGAGAAACACACTGGGCGCGCTCCGTCACATCTGACATCCTGCTCCTCTCGTGCATCCCTTACCGTTGCGCTGAGCCGTTTCCATCTGCGGACGCGCGTCATAACGGACAAACAGCTCCAAACAGGCTTCATCGCAGTATGCGCGATCGGAGACTGGGAGCTGCGCACATAAGGGGGAAGGGGGGGAGGAGGAGAAGGCGGATGAGCAGGAGGAAAATGGGGATGAGGAAGGAGGGGGAAGAGGAGGACGAGGAGGAGGAGGACGAGGAGAACGAGGACGAGGACGAGGACGAGGACAAGCACGGCGGCACCATCAGGAGGAGGAGTGGAAACAGTGGAGGGAGCAGGTGGACCACGGGAAGGTTGAGGAGAGGAAATGAGGGGACGACGACTATACAGAAGAACTCGCATCCAGAGACGTGGCCCGCGCAGGGGCGAGAGCGCCATTCTGAACGACGAACGCACAGCGCCGATCCGAAAATGAGGCCAACGCTGCAGCAAGCGCACCATTTTGAAACTCCGAGAACAATCGGACTACAAAGCAACGCGAGAAAAACGAAGGCTTGAAACCCTGCGCGTAAATAGCAAAATGCGGAGAGGGCAAGTCATGTTCCAGAAGGAGAGTCAAGTATCATTCATAATGTGTTCATGTAGAGACGAGGGAAGAGAGAGGAGGAGGAGGAGGAGGAGGAGGAGGAGGAGGAGGAGGAGGAGGAGGAGGAGGAGGAGGAGGAGGGGAGGAGGAGGAGGAGGAGGAGGAGGAGGAGGAGGAGGAGGAGAGGAGGACAATGAGGAATTGGAAGAGGGAGCAGGGGAGAGGAGGAGAGAGGAGGAGAGAGGAGGACCGAGGAGGAGAGAGGAGGAGAGAGGAGAGAGGAGAACCTTAGTCGGAGTTTATTATCTAGTAGTGCACTGGGATCCGCCCTTGCACCCGAAGACTTCGGGACGCGCCCGCCCAAAAGGAGACATTGGGTGTCGGGGACCCCGTCTGCTGCCTGTGAGAAACACATAGTGGTGCCAACGCTCGAGAATCGGCCGACTCCCAACCCGAGGACCGAAGTCGAGGGAAAAATGCTGGCTTAGAAAATTACACTGTTGGGAACATGGGGCGATCCTGTCGTCGCATCCGAACCATGAAGGGCGAGCGCGAGGGGCAGGAGAGCCCAGAATCGAATCGACAAGTCGGATCGGCGATCGAAATGAATCAGATCGGCGAAAATCGGCAGCCGAGTCGGGAAAAGCCGAATCGGCGGAAGTCGGCAGGCTAGTAGGCCTTCATTGAGAAAGCAGCGCACAAATCGGAATCCGAAGCCGAATCGAATCGGAATCGGAGGCCATCGATCGAAACGAACCCTAGAGGATTCCGCCCGCCCCCCCCCCCCGGGCTGCCCAGCGGGGGGCGCCGTGCGCGAGCCGCCCCCCAAGCCCGGCCACGGGCTGGAGAAGGCGGAGGCCGCCAGCGCGGCTCTCCACCTCGTGGTAGAGGGGGGGGAGGGGATGCAGGAGAGAGAAGGAGGAACGATAACGGGGGGCCAGCACAGGGGCGGGTCCTCCTCCTCCCCCTCCTCGCCCTCCTCATCCTGTTATCCGTAGCCATTTTGGCTCAAGGTTAATGCTTTGGCGGGCTGAGCCCGCATGCACGCACGGATACCGCTAGTCCGCGGCAGGCAAGACCCTTGGTGGTCTGGCAGTTTCTTTTACATTCACTGTACGTGTGTGCGGCATGTCGTGGCGCAGCCGCGCGCTTTGGCACGCTGTTAGTGGCGGTGGCTCTTGGGCATGGCAATCGGTGCCCAATGTCGTCAGTTTCAAAGAAGAAGAAGGAAAAGGAGGTCTGCTCCGTCTGCAATCATTGGGGGTTCAATTGCCACGGTCAGCGCGCCTGCAGCAAGTGCGGTGGCAAGTACAAGTACACGTCTGAACACGCTGCTCCTGGCCATGATGATTGGGATCTGGGTGGAGGTGTTCCTGGCGATGCTGCGGTGCCAATGCCACCTCAACTATTGCGAGGGCTGAAGAAGTGGGCTGTCTATTCCCTGCTCTGGCGGGTGTGGCACGCGATGCGCCCCCCCGCCCCCTGTTCCTGAGGTTCGTGAGTATTCCGACAGCGAGCTGGACAAGCTTGCTGCCGCTGCGCAGACTGAGCTGGCCAAGAAGGTCGAATACGACACCAAGCAGGAGCGAATTGCCTACCAGGAGGCCCAATGGCGTTTGGACCGCTACAACAAGGCGAAGGCTACGATGGAAGAGATGCAGAAGAGTCACGTCGAGGCCGCGCAGAACCTCGAGGTGGCTCGGACAACGGCGAGAGAGGCGGACGCCGCCAAGACGGCCTTCAACGTCGCCACCTTCAAGGTGGAGAAGATTGAGGAGCAGCGCCGCCTGCGCGCCCAGCTGCAAGCCCAGGCCGCCCAGGCCCCGCAGGCTGCTGGCGCCGCGGTCGGGGCGTGCGCCCCCCCGACCGCCGCTGGCGGCGCCGCCAATGGCTTTCCCCCGGGCCAGGCGGCTGCCGAAGACATGGAGGTGGAGCAGCGGGTGGTTCCTGCTGATCCTTGGCTTCGCGGCCGTCTGGTACACGTGCGTCGAGGCCAACTTGCACGACTTCGATGACGACGAGTTGGCCAAGCTCGTGCTGCTCTCGGGGAACAAGCTTCCCCAATGGCAGCAACACCGCCAGCGTATGCAGCGGATGCGCGGCGGCCAGGATCAGGACTCCTACTCGGGCATGGGAAGCGACGTCGGTGACAACGATCTCGAGGAGGGCGAGCGTGGACAGCTTCGCGATCTCAAACGTCGCGCCGCAGAGAGTGGTCTGGATGCCCAACAAGCTAAGGAATATGCAGATCTCCTTCAGAAGCGTATTGTGGCACAGTCTGCCAAACGTGCTCGTCACGCGCAGAACATCACTTGCGACATGCACCGCGTCTTCTGCAACGCCGCGGCTGAGCTGATGGGCAAGTTCGGACCAGGAGGTGGCGCGCGGGCTGCGGGCGCTGCTGCAGGAGGTGGTGCCGCCTCTGACGCCCCGCCTGCTCGGTCTGGCTTTTAATGTTCCTCCTCCGCCTCCCCAGGCGGCCCAGCACGTTTTGCTCAAGCTTGTGAATGCCACTCAGTGGTCGAAGCTCACTCCGGATCTTTTAGCAGCTAAGGACGCTGAGGTTGATGCCATATTCATGGCTGAGCATCATCAGAGAGGGCATGGGTGCTTCCTGGCCAAGAAGACGTGTCGTCACATGAAGTGGTCTCAATACTTTCAGGATGCGTTGGCATCACCTGGTGGAGGCACACATGGTGGAGTTGCTGCTGTGGTCCAGCCTCGTCTCTCTTTTCGCAGGTTTCTGATTCAGGCTGAAGGAGCGGAGCAGGTGGGATCAGGTGGATGCTGGTTCTTTCCTGGGTTGGGTCTCAGATCTTGCAGTGTTGCTGCTGGTGTTGTCTACCTTGTCCCACCGATTGGAGCTCCTGGAGCTAACTCTCATCGGTTGCGTAGAGTTGCAGGGTTTGTTCGGGGCCTGTCGACCCCGTGGTTTTTGATGGGAGATTTCAACCTGTCGGTTGATTTCCTGGAGGATGCTGGAATATTGGAGCTTTGGGGGACCAACACCCATCGCACCTAAGAGCGTTGAGTTCACGTGCTCTGTTTTCGAAACGATGATTGATTATGTTGTGTGCTCTGACTTGCTCTTTCCCGACCTGGAAGTGTCTGCCGACCTCCGTTCCCCTTTCAAGACCCACGCGCGTCTGGGCGTGACCCTGAATCTGGAGGCCATGGTGGGGCCCCTGCGTCAGCGAGTGAAGCCCTTGGAGACCCCCGAAGCCTACGGTCCTGACAATCACTGGCTTCCCTATATGGCTGCTGCTGCTCCTGAGTTCCTGGGGGGGGGGGGGCATGATCATTCCTGAGGACCTGCGTGGCGCTATGATTGATCACCCGAAGGAATGGTTATCTCGGGGCTTAGGCATGCAGAATATGACATGGTCTCGCGCAATGGAGTTGCGCGCTTTATCCTGCGCATGTGCCATCGTTGCCGACCCACGCCGATATGCAGGCCGAGGAAGCATTCTCAAGCGAAAAGACTTGTCTCTGATGACTCGCAGTGTGCGAGCGCAGAATTTTCGGAATCCTGACTTGTCTTACTGGCCGCTTGTTTCTAGCCGTCTGCATGATTTGTGGATGCTCACGTGCAGAAGACCCTTTTTTTCTGACGCTGCTCGGCAGCACCGCGCCGTTCTGTCGGACTTGGCTTCCGACGTCTTCTCGCGTATTGAGCCCTTGGAGAGCCCAGAAGATGCCGAACATTGGAATGATATCCTGGCCAACCCCCCGGGGGGGCCCTGGGGCCCTGAAGAACCTGGTTGATGTTCGTGGATTGATTTGCGTTAAATATTGGACCCTCGCGCATGCTAGGACCAAGGCCAGAATGCGCACATGGTTGCAGGCTCCGCTGCCTCGAGGTGCTAGCCCAGTTCATAGGTATCCTAAGGCTGAGGAGAAGGTTTGGGTCCAGTATTTCGAGGCGCCCAATGGAATCCTCAACGCCCCGAAACCTATGATGAGTTCTCGTGGGAAAAAACGGAAAGCGTGGTGGGCCCCTACCTCTCAGAAGCCCCTCTGTTTGAATGCTGGCATGGACGAGCCGAGACCCCAGGCCATCGTCTCGCTCGAAGATCGTGCACCGTTGGAAGTTGCTGATGTTGCCCGCGCATGCACATGTTTCAAGGCTACCACGGCACGTGGTGTTGATATGTGGTCGACTCGTGCTCCCCTGTCGGTGCCCATTGATGCGCGCGAAGTGTTCACGGACATCCCCCCCAGGTTGAAGAGACGTTGAGTTCCCCACCTGAGTGCCAGTCTGTCTCATGGCCGTGCTCCCCAAGTCCAGTTGTGAGGAGCGTGGGATCGTCAAGTGCCCTAGTACCCATCGCATACACTGCGCGGCTAGAGGCTTTGACGCCGACGATTGGAATAAGGCCCACTTGGACGTCTGGGGCTCCGCGGTCAAAGGATCCTCGGCCTTGAAGGCCGCGCTGTTTCGGGAGCTGGCCCACGAGGTGGCCCATGCTTGCGGGTTGCACTCCTGCGTCCTCCACTGGGACCTCGACAAGTTCTTCGACTCGGTTAGCCCCAGTAAGTCGCTGCATCATGCCGTTAATCAAGGTTGCCCTGGGCGCCCCCTGTATTTGGGGCTCATCATGCACACGACTCCGAGGCTTCTTGAAGTGTCTGGGAGTTTGTCTAAAGTGCTGGCGCCTGGGGGGGGCCTATCCTGGCTGGTTGCCGCCACAGTGTGTCCTGGGTTAAGTGCTACTTGTATGGGGTGCTGGAGAAGGCCCACAACAGGATTCCCAAGGGCCTTGGAGACCTCCCACATGTTCGTGTACCCGCCAGGCCATACGTAGATGACATCGCGCAGCATCTGCAAGGTACAGTCGCCCTGATTTGTCGCTACTTGCCGCCCGCTGCAGCATCCTTCCAGAACGACATTTCTCTTCTCGGGTGCATCGCGAGCGCCAAGTCACTTGCTGTTGCTTTATCTGTTGAGTTGCAGCGGCTCTTGCAGGATGGGTTTAAGAGACATGGCGTCTCCATTCAATTTTCCGCGAGCGTGAAGGACCTGGTCTCCGTCACCGCGGCTCACAAGGGACGGGCCACGTGGAAGATCCAGCAGCGGCGAGCTATTTCCTTTCGACGCGGTCGTACATTAGCGTGCCTTGCTCGGCTGCGTGGGGGCCTCACGTAAGGTGTATAAGCCAAGTATCCTATATGTTGGACCTTGGGGACACTCCCTCCTGGGGCCCCCTCCTGGTGCTATTAGGCATATCCGTTCCCCGGCCGCTTCCTGTTCGGGTTCTGGTCTACTGGGGCGTGCACTACTTCAGTGTCGCGGGTTTTGCACGACACCCGGGACGACCCTGTTTATCGATTGCGCATTGAACAGCTGACATTTTCTTCCGAGCTTTGGGTTTCGCTTTCTGAAGGCCTGCGGTCTGGAGTTCGAAGAGTTTGGGAGTCCTTGCGAGGCAAGCTCATTGGAGTTCCCCCCTCCGATAGATGGCGTCACGCACGAGGCCCCGTCGCAGCCTTTTTTTGCTACCGTGCTCGGCTTAGGCTGGAACCCCATTAGCACTGACGAGTGGCAAGTGGAGGGTGCTCAGCCGTTGAGGATGACTGATCTTGATTTTCGTTATCACGTCACGGCAGCTGTGCGCGCTAGTTGCTCTGCTCTTGTCTGGGCCCAGGCGAGCCGACATTATTGTGGGCAGGGCCTGGCCACTGGTGCTGATTTCACAATCTTCAGGGCCAAGCGTAAGAAGCCGCTCGATGACGGAGAAAATTAAGTGCTGCTCTACTCACTACCAAAATTGTTGGTGCACCTTACGTCAGGCACCTTACGTCAGGCACTTGCGTTCGGTGTGGAGATGAGCGTGAGACCCCACTTCGCCGATGTTGGGGATGTCCTTCCAGTGCCTTC